TTTTTGGCGCCGCGTTGTTTGCCCCCGGTTGCCGAATCCCCTCGCCCAAAAGTTTTGGGGGGGGCCCTTCCACGCCCCCCACGACAAATTGGACCCGGGGGCCCATTTTGGGAAGCCCCACGTGGGGGGCCTTCGCTTGGGGGTTTTTTTGAAATTTGAGGAAAAACTCCCGAAACCCCACAAAAGGGCGGAAGCCCCCGCTCCTTCCTTGGGGGGGGCCCCTGGGGTAAGGGTGAGGTTCAAACAAAGTCCAGTAAAAGAAACTTTGGTGAGGGACTTTATTTTAAGGTCCAAACGAAGCCCCCCCCCCCTTTTGGGAAGGCGGGAAGTTTTGGGGAAACTTACGGAGGCATATTTTACGGGTCCCAAAAAGTAGGGGAAGCATATGCTCCCTGGCCGGGGTTCCGGGGGGGGTTCCCCCCCCCCGGGGGGGGGGGGATCCCCTCCCCCCAGGGGGGTGGAACCCTGATTCCCCCCAAGGGGGTCAGGCCCCCCCCCCCCCCCCCCCAGTGTCAGTAGGGCCCAGAGCCACGGTCATGCGGAGGTGGCGGACATGGGGAGGTGGCGGACATGGGGAGTGGCGGACATGGGGAGGTGGCGGAGCGCACCAACCCTCGGGCGAGGCGGAGAAGGCGATCACACGCTCGAGCGCCAGCGGGGCGATCGCCTCGGCTGGCTTGCCCCCGAACCAGTCGAGCAGGAAGGCGCGCATCTCCTTGAGCTCGACCACATTCTCCCACCCGTCTCCGTTGAACTGCAGCAGCGGCTTCGCCTCGCCAGACGCGCCGCCGCCGGCGCCCCTCGCAAAGCCCGCCATCGCCGCGCTCGCCTGGGGCAGGCGAGATCTGGGGAGATACCGGGAGGCAGGGGGGGATATGGCGAGATATGGGGAGAATATGCCGTGGGCGCAGACGGGCGACGAGGTGTGTCTCGGAAGTGTCCCGGAAGCGTCTCTCGGAAGTGTCGCGGCGCCTCGACGCCAAACTCGTACATGTCGAGGATGCGGTGGTCGAAGCAGCGGCCGAGGACGAGGTTGTGCGGCCTGGTGGCGGGCAGGGACGCCGACGCCAGCGGAGGCTGAGACCGGGCGGCGGATCCACTCCTCGCGCCCTTCCTCTGCTCCACTCTGCAGGCCGCCGGCTGCCTCTCTCATCACCACCTCTCGTTCTCCCGCCCGCGCCGCTGCCACCGACCGGACGAAGCTCCTCTCCCTCCTCCTCCCCTCCTCTCTCTACCCTCCCCTCCCCTCCTCTCCCCTCGAGCGCCGGGCTGGGACGGCCGCGCCTCTTTTTCGAGTGCGTGCCGAATCCGAAGAGCGACGCGTCATTCTTCTGGCAGAGGAACTCGAGCGGCGTGGCGTCCTCCCACGGGTGGACGGCGTTGTGCCGGCGGAAGTGCTTTGCGTGCGGCTTCTTCAGGCAGAAGAGGTCCGTCAGCAACTCATTGACGACAGCGGACGACTTTTGGCCGCGGGCGAGCAGCGCGGTGCGCGGGTTTTCGACGAGCTTGGGCTCGCGCTGCGCGAGGAAGCGACGACCGCGGGCCGATTTTGCGCGCCTGCTCTCGAGGCTCATGAGAGAGAGGTGGTGCGGTGGTGGCTCAGCGGCGCTGCGGTGGGTCCTCGTACTCGTCGCCCTGGTTGCCGGATCAGGCGTATTTTTATTTTTTTTGAGAGCGCCTTCGTTGTTAATAGTACAAACCCAATGGTCCTCTGCAAGCGGTCCTTCGTTGCAGACGCACACACGCACACGCCGCGCCGCACCGCGCGCCCGCCCACCGCCCCGCCCAGGCGGGAAAGAGGTGGGGAGATGGGACAGCGAAGGAGGAGTACGAGCACGTATGGGAGGGTTCAGTAATGCGCCACGCTGCCCGGCGTTTCTCACTTTCCGGGACAGCCCCGCCCTTGTGAGGCAGGAAAGTGACGGCTACCCCGTACGCGCCTGCCGCTCTACTCGTCGCCGACCGCCCATTCCCCCCTCCTCGTTCCCCCCTCGAATGCTCCGGACCCCGACAAGCCGCCCGACGTTGGGCCTCTGCCCCGCACGCCCCCGCCCCTCGCTCACACCCCGGCCCGACACGCACTCTGCCCCGCACGCCCCCGCCCCTTCTGCCCCTCGCCCACACCCCGGCCCGACACGCACATACAAGACAAACCCGGCGTCCTGCTCTCAAAAGAAAAAGAAAAAGGGAATGAGGAGACCAGCGGGGGAGACTCCCCGCCTATGCAAGCCCCAGAGAGGGGCCGCCATCGCCGAAGCTGTGCCAAAGCATAACTCCAAAACCCGCAGCGGCCCAGGGGGCCTTGGGGGCAGCCTGCCGGACCGCCGCTGCACGGGGCTAGGCACCAGAAGACGAGTGGAATTGATGGATTGGGCTGGTGTCCGTGCCTCCCCTCTATACGTCAGAGTGGGACCTACGCCGCGCCGGGTAAGGGGCGCGCCCGGTCCTCGACGGAGCCGCGCGCCCCAAACGACCCAGGCGGTGAGTAGTCGTCCTCGAACCTTCGACTTGTAGTCGCCCGTGGTTAGCGCCCCTCCTCCCTCGCCCGTCCCTACTCGTACTGCTCTCGGGGCGCCCGCGGCATCTCGCCGCCCATCTTTGGCCACGCGTTGTAGTCGAAGATGGCGGCGTTGCGCCTCGCGACGATGGCCGAGTGCACTTGCAGGAAGCGCTTGCGCTCGCTACTGACCCGCCATCGTTCGCTGTCGGAGGACGCCTTAGCGGCCTTGATGTCGAAGTTGATGTTGAACCACGTCGCCGCCTCGTGCCC